GGCTCAATCCTACTACAGTGCGATACTCTTTATCGAGACGGTCAGTCAGAAGGGGCGCCGAGCATCAGAATATCATGATATTTATACACAGGTGGGGAGGAGTTGTGTGGGTTGCTCCTCCCTACGGTCATCTTATTGGGAGATACAAAACGATTTCCTGCCGCAACGAATCAGCGTGAGCCTGCACACACACACATTCTGCATAGACGTCCTTCTCTCCGGCCCCCTCCCCCCTCAGTTTAATACACATACAGTTTCACATACTTTTGGTATCTTAAAGATATGTTTACGACATAGTTGTTTATAGTTGGCCAATACAAGAAATACATGTAAGTTACTTTAGATCACACACATATTTTGGACATGTAGCCTTCCAGATGCTTGTCATGCTGTGTCTAAATAAGGATGTCTCCTCTCCCACATCTCTAGTCTCCTGTCATGCAAAACTGCTCCTACTTCACACAGAGTAATTAAGCACATTTAAGCCAGCTACTTCACAATGTTGTGGCAATTTAGTACTCACAACATGAAAGAATAAAACAGAGAGAAATCAATAAAACACAAACACAGGTATAGTTGAGCAGTAATTATACAGCACATATAGCCACTGCAATGAACACACACACATATTTGATCATGCAGCCTATCACACAAATGTCACATGTTTTTCCTCTGAAAGCTATACTTGTTATAGGTTTAAACGTCATCGTCTCATGACATCCATAGGATTAGCTAACTAACAAAGGTTAACTGTTCTTATACCCTAAGCCTAAGGCCTTCTCTGAACTTCCTTCCACCCCGAAGTCCGCTCACAATAACATGAATACATCTATTGATAATTCAGAACGACCATTGTCTCTTTAACTGTGTGACCCAATCGTCTCATGCTTTTTTAGGAGTCTTGCAGGATATGAACCACTAACTAACGTCTGCACATGAGCGCACATACATGTCCTCCTTTTATTAATTTAAGTTTTGTTAGAAATTAAAATCAATGTTTTGATAGCATAATGCACCTTAAACATACCGTCAGTTTAAATGCTGTTTTATACTGAAAAACCAGAAGTTATTGTGCACAACCAGTTGTTAAGCTTTTATTCTGAAAATCCTTCATCTCCGGTTAGCATGAGGCTAATATACCATTTACTATAGAGGTGAATTTAGCAGCGATATGATATGATGTTGCACACCGAAACCTACTGATTTCAACACTACAACTATAGACGTCGAGATATTATTATTGTTGGATATTAAATGAAGGTACAGTTTATTTGAGTACGTTATTGTTTACAGATGTGGGTAGCATGTGACAACATTCGGAACGACCGGAAACCAAACTGCTGTGAAGTATTTCCTGTATTTTTGGAGTATTGATTACAGCGTTTAGAATGTGTTAAATGAAAAGTCATGAAAGAGTTAAGGAGGACAAAAGGCGTGTTTAGATATATATTGAATGTACAATGTCTGTATCCTCTGATATGCGTAACAACGGACATTAAAACGTTGGAGAGCCGGCCCGCAGGGAGGAGCCAGCAGAGGATATATAAACAGCGAGACCTGAGGGGTTCGGCCTCTTTCTCCGCTAGCCAGAGCCAGAGACACAGCTGTTTTGTCTGTTTGTTAACATATCCGTGCCATTATTTTTTAATTAAAGTACCAATTTGAAACAATCTCAGAGACTCCATTTAGTCTCCTTTTAAGCTTTTCTCTTGGACGCGAGAATAACCAACACAGATAACAGTTTCCAGATCATACAAAAAACTCTTACAGATAAAACTCTTACAGATAACCTACTGAGTTCCGCCCTTGAAAGCCCAAAATGACTTTCTGAAAAATATTTATCAACGGGTAATCATTTTACTCAAGGCAGAAATCACAGGTTATACCTTACCTACTGACAAATAGCCAACAAAACGAATCTACTTCTACTTAAAATGGGACATTATTTTAGGAATATATATAAAAAACCTCTCTATAATTAAGAGGAAAACATTGACTTGTCAGTATTAGTACCAATCCCCTTTCAATCACATTAGTATGCATGAAAAGTGACAGGTGACACGCCCCCAATTATGCAAAGGAGCTAAGTCCAGCCTCCCATTGTTCGAGATCCTTTGATGTGTGTTATCAGATAGGTGTGAAAAGCCCCCCCTGTGTAGTGCCTTTGTTGTTTAGTTTTTTGATGTATTGATTAAGATAGTCTCTTTGAAGTTATGTTGTCTGGCCCCTGCCCCCTCACACCCCTTTGTAGTCTAGTCCTTTGATGTGTGTTATAACAGGTAGGTGTGAAAAGCCCCCCTGTGTAGTGCCTTTGATGTTAATCTAGGTGTTGATTAAGGCAGACTCTTTGAAGTTATGATGTCTGGCCCCTGCCGCTCAGAGTTGAATAATTAGCCTTTGGTGTTTGCCCTTTGATGTGAGGTGTTATAACAGGCAGGTGTGACTTCACACTGGTGTGTTATAAGCCTGTGATGTTAATCTAGGTGTCTCTTTGAAGTTATGCGTGAGACTGTCTACCCGCCCCCTCCCAGCCTCTCCCCCTTTTCTCCACCCCTTCCTGTGGCTATGACGCAGGCAGATAGTGGGGGATGGAATTAGGTGAAGATAGAAATATGCTCAAACTAAATAAAAAGACAGTCATTTCCACTTACCAAGTCACCTTTCAAAAAAGAAAAATGGCCAAGAGACGCCTCGAATGGGGTTTAATCAGCCTGTGACAACATACCGCCATCCGTCCGGAGCGTCAGTCAAGAAATGAATGCAGCATCTGTGGGGGATTCAGACGCCTACAGCCTGTGCACAAACTTATCTCGTGCCCTCTTTTGGTCATGTGCGCGTTCATGTGTGTTGGAGGAGGGGCTCTGTGAGGAAGTGGCAGATTTTCCCCCCGGTTTGACTGCAAAAGACTCTCACTCGAACTGGTTTCTCCAAAAATGACCTACCCCCTACCCTTAAGAACAATTAACACACACACACACACACACACACACACACACACACACACACACACACACACACACACACACACACACACACACACACACACACACACACGTTGGAGTTGGCCTTTGATCTGAGGGTTTGAGATAAGCATGGGATGTTAATCTATATGTTGATTAAGGCAGTCTCTGTGAGGGGAGAAGCAAGGGGATGGAGTTAGTTTTTAAAAAAGAAATACGCTCAAACTAAATAAAACAGCCATTAATTTCCACTCACTAAGACATCTAAAAACGTTATTGTCCTCTCTAGATTTGATTCAGGGTTTGTTTTAAATGATTTGTGCTTGCTAAGGATGTTTCTTTTTAAGTTTTTGTGAAACTGTGAACTACAAGGAAGTATCTGTTTTGCAAAGAGGGTATTCATATTCATTTAAAAAGATCTTATTTAGGTTGTAATAGTGATACCTAAGGATATTCTCTTTAGTTGTATGGATTGTGAACTAATGTGTAATTACTTTTACTAACTATAAGAAAGTCTCTCTGAAGAGGAAGATAATGATAAAACAATTTAAAAAACATGATCTTTTTGTCTTTTTTTTTTAATAATTACTTTACACCACTATAAGGAAACCCAATATAAAGTTGTGTGAGGTTCTTTTGGGGGGTAATATTAGAATTTTGCTGTATTCATAAAAGAGAAGTTTTCTTAAAAATGTGTTTCTACTCCATTTCACTCCATGACGGCTCCATTGTGGCTGATCAGAACAAAAGAAAAGCTGTAAACACTTAAAATACTTAATCAACAGTCTGAGGGTAAATTAAAATAGTCATTTACAAAAACATACAAGGCTTTTTATGTCTACTGGAGATCAATGCAGGCACCGAGTCTCACTCTGTGGGGGGCAAAAGACGCATAGCTAATCACCTGGATAAAGCACTCATCGATTGGTCAGTTTTTTGGAGGCAATGACCTGGGCATTGTTATCTGGGGTTTTATAAGGCGATATGATTTCTACAGCAAGAGAAAACAGATGATGAACTATCCTGCCATTCCTGCTCTGCGCTTTTTTGATTTAGATCTCATCACAAACCAATGTGGTAAGTACTTATTTTATAATATCATGTAATTATTAAATGTTCTTTATATATATATATATATATATATATATATATATATATATTTATTTATTATGTGGATAGTATATTATTAGATACTTAAAAAATGTTATGTTTTTTCTGTTTGCAGTAGAGATCCTGTGTGCTGAAAACCCTAATGTGTGGGGTCATAGGATTATTGAAATACTAGGTGAGTTTCTGTTTTTCTTTTATTCTACTTCTTTAACATGTTTTACTAAAAAAAGTATAAAATAAAATGTGGTGTAGATTCTAATCAAATCTTTTTTTGTGTCAGATAGGACCTCTAGTGTTACAAAGGATCCGTTATGTATTAGGAGCCTGCCTCGAGTCATCCCCTGTGGAGAGTGAGTATATTTAACCTAGTTGTATTTTATTTTTTAAATCAAATGTGTTTTTTATGTGAAAAGTATCCAAAATAACGTTTTTGTTTTTTTGTTTTTTACTAAAAAGGTGAAGAAGTCTACAGCACAGACCCTTCATCAGTGTACCAAAACTTTCCAAGTGTGGAGTCCACACTCAGCCTACTTTTTGAGACAACTACAGATCACCTTGGGACAGCCGTCACCCTCCCCCGGGACTCAGATAACCAGGCAGACACCTCCCTTTTCAACGCTACCCAGCAGCAGCAGCAGCAGCAGCAGCAGCAGCAGCAGCAGCAGCAGCAGCAGCAGCAGCAGCAGCAGCAGCAGCAGCAGCAGCAGCAGCAGCAGCAGCAGCAGCAGCAGCAGCAGCAGCAGCAGCAGCAGCAGCAGCAGCAGCAGCAGCAGCAGCAGCAGCAGCAGCAGCAGCAGCAGCAGCAGCAGCAGCAGCAGCAGCAGCCTATATCTGAAACCTTCCTGCAAATTCCACCAGAACTGCAGGCCGATTTTGACGCCTACAGTGCCTATCTGGACGACTTTGAGTTGCACCCCGTTCAAGACACACTCCTATCGAGTCAGACAGACTCAGCCCCTAGTCAGCAGGTCGGGGGTGAACTATCAGCACAGACTCTACGTGAGATTCAGATCGATATTGCACTCCTCACAGACCCCCTTCTGACAAGATATCACCCCGGTAAATGAGTTTTATGGTTATTTTATAAGATGTTTGATAAATGAATAGTTGTTAAATGTATAATCCTGTGTTTTTCAAATACTTATCCTTCTTTTTCTCTGTCTTTTTTTTTTTTCTGTATAGATCAGTCAAGCTATTATCAAGGGGACCAACACTGCTGCTACTGCCAACTTTTTGGATACACCCACTGAATAAGCTGGAGGGTCTCATGTAAATTGATGCCGATGTAACCGAACGGTATGTTTCTTCAGCTGTGACAAATGTATTTCTGATTTGGTTTCATAAACGGTCAAAAATAGCATAGCTTCAACCAATGAGGAATCATCAGTTTCCGCCGTCCAGAATGGTGGATATGTTATTGACAGCTCGAGTGACTCAGAATCACCAGTTTTCTCCATGCAAAGTGGTGGACATGTTGATCAGAATGACACCCCGAATGCTTCAGAATCACCAGGCCCCTCGTTACAACATGGAGGGGGGGCTAACCGAAATGCCACACCAAGTGTTTTGTCTCGACCTGTATTCAATAACACAGAACTGCGTCAGTCTCTAGTCCTAACCCCTCCTAATAATGAAGCAGACTTTACATCCTATTATGGAGTTCTGATGAACTGATATGTACATGATATGCTAAATGATGCTTTTTCACGGGCAGAGAGGGAAGATATTGTTCAGGTTGAGCTACGGGGCGAGCAGCTACAGGCTAATGTGTCAGCCATTTTAGATGCCAATGGCGACAATCTGGCTGATTTTGAGGAGGCCCTGTTCAATGCTGTACAGTCAAATTTAGAGGTAATGGCAGACAGCAACCTCGAGTTAGTGGTGCAAATTGTACAATCCCCCCATGGTGGTGCTAAAAGATTGGCTTGTAAAATGTTGGACAATGAGATTGTTAAAAAGAAGAGGCGTTTTCTTTACGTTGTACAGAACCCGTCCAACCAGCTGTGTTTTGCTATTAATTTAGCACTGTTGTTGCATGACAACCTCACTGATAAAGAAGGTTTTGAACGTGGTAAAGATATTCAAAGGAGGGTGGGTTTGACAGATCAGACAGCTGTGACATTCAACGACATTGTTAAATTCGAAGAGAGTTTAAAATGCAAGATTGTGGTGTTTTACAGAGGCGATGAAGATCGTACTCACTGTAAATTCCAGACAGACGGTCCCAAACGAGACAAAACTGTGTTTTTGTTTCTCTTCAAAAACCACTACTATGGGATTAAAAACTTGAAGGGGTTTTTAGGCTCTTCATTTGTCTGCGAACATTGTTACACAGGCTACAGCTCTCAATGGATTCATTCCTGTACTGGTCATTGTTTTGTCTGCCTTGACCCCTCATGTACTCTGGAAGAGTTTAAACCCATCTTTTGTAAAGACTGTAACAAAACGTGTCGTACGGTCGGCTGTCACTCTCGACATAAAAAACAGACACAGAGATCATCAGACATTGCCAGTAACTCCGATTTACACAAAAAGTGTGTAGATTGCCAACTTTCTTACTATATCCCCAAAAGTAGTGCAGATAAAACACACAAGTGTGCTGTGAAAAAATGTAAGACATGCAAGGAAAAATTACCCTCTGCTTCTACAGCCAATGGTGAAAAACATCTGTGTTACATCGGAGTGTTGCCCAAAGAGACAGAACCAGTGCTGGAATTGGGCCGGTACTCACCGGTACGCAGTACCGGCACTTCTGGTTCTGACCCATGGAGTACCGGCACTTCTTGCTCAGTACCGGCATGCTGGCGGTACTCCGGTACTCATGCACCGTGCCAGTACTCAACACTCTCCCGCCGTTCTTATTATACATCCATATATATATATATACAGCCGCCCGGTACTCAGTAGATGCGTCATGAGGTGCCGAACGGACATTCTCATCGCTCTAACCGCTGGAGTTTCACAGCGGCTGTCAGCTGTTTACTCCTGTCATTCAAACAGAACGTGCTGGAGAGGGGGCGGGGCTTATCTTCTCCATGTAAATACTGTGGTGGAAACGACTATGTCAAAATTAACCTATTTGACCGTGATTTAATAGTAATACACGTTTCAAAATAATAATAATAATAATAATAATAATAATAATGCCGAAGTAACAACATACTGAAAACTGTTAGTAAAACCATGTTTTAATGCTTTACAATTTACATACCTAGATGCACGTGTGTTGTGTTTATGCAGTGCAACTCCCACCCAGTGGGTGGCTATGTAGAGTGATAGAACAGAGCAGGCACGCCCCCGAGAGAAGGAAAGCAAGTCACGTCACAAATGAGCATTTCTAAAATGTTAGCGTGGATTAATAAAAGTGCAAAAAGACAGCGGTTGTCGCCGGAAGAAACTTCAAATACAGAGAATGCTGTGCCTGTGTTGGAAATTGTGTCTGATGGGGAGCTTTCTTTGGTTGATCCTCCTGCTCCAAGTTCTAGTGCATTAGCACTAGCACTAGCTCCGCCGCCTCCTCCAGAGCCTCTAACGTTAGCTGCTGCTAGCTCAACTGCCACAACCAACACCGGGCAAAGCGATGCACCTGACTGCTGGACAACGGACCAGGTGCAATATTTTTTGCAAGACCAATGCATGGCTCCTTCTTAAAGATAAGAAGCTAGGATGTCGGATATGCAGAGATGTCAAATCTTTGGGAATACACACTGGACAAGGACTGAAACTGTCAACTGAATGGGGTGAGTGTGCAGTGTCTCATTTCGGTGTTGACAAGGGCAAACAACAAGCTAGCCTGAGAAAAAAAATCAAAGAACATAAAGAATCACAAGCCCATGTAAAAGCTGCTGACATCCTTACATCTGCTTCACGTGAAACTATACAACATCAAGTGCAGTCTATGCATAAATCTGAATTAGACACCACTATCAGAGTTTTTCGAACGGCATATAAAATTGGCAAACATAGCCGGCCATTCACAGACATGCCAATTGATTTGAATGTACAGAAACTGAATGGGCTGAACGTGGGCAGGGTTTTGCACTCCAATAAAACCTGTGGCGAAATCATCGACCACATAGCTCATGAGCTGAAGAAAAAAATGGCAAAAGACATTACAGAAAACCAAAGAAAACTCTGTGTTTTGGTCGATGAATCTACCACTATTAGTGGTAAAACGGTGCTTGTTGTGTGTCTACGCTCAGCATTAGCTGATGCTGAGCCCGAAACGTTTTTTTGGGAGCTGATCGAGTTGGATGGAACAACGGCTGATGACATCACAAAGGCGTTAATGGAGTGTCTTGGAAGAGATTTTAACGAGGACTTTTTAGGTCAGTGTTTTGTTTCTTTTGCATGTGATGGGGCTTCAGTCATGCTAGGGAAGAGAACAGGCGTTGCTACCCAGTTGTGTAGTAAATTCCCAAGCCTGTTTGTGTGGCACTGCTCCAATCATCGTCTAGAGCTGGCAGTTGGGGATGTGGTCAAGGAGGTCTCAGGGCTCAGTCATTTCCAGATCTTTTTTGACAAACTCTATTCCTTGTTCCATGCCTCCCCCAAAAATCAGAGGCAGTTAGCGCAGTGTGCGCAAGCAGTCGGACAGCGTCTCCTGGTGATAGGGCGTGTTTTGTCCATCCGCTGGGTGGCTTCAAGTGAAAGGAGCGTCAGAGCAGTCTGGGAAAACTACCGAGTGCTTCATGATCACTTCACAAATGCTGCAAACGACACGAGCAGGGATTCCAGAGACAGAGCAAAGTACAAGGGCCTGGATGATGTGCTCACATCTGCAACGTTTGTCAGCAATCTGGGACTGATGTACGATGCGCTCACAGAGCTCAGCGACCTCTCTCGGCAACTCCAAAAAAGAGAGATGACACTGCCTACAGCAGATAGGCTCTTAACTCGAGAAATACGAGTTTTTGAATCCATGGTCACCATGCCTGGCCCACACATGACTACAGTTCATACAGCTCTAGCTGAGAAGTCCTTCAAGGGTGTTACCCTGCGTGAGAATGGCAGGCTTGTACAGATTCATGCAGGTCAGTTTTTCCGCAGTATGGTAGAGAATCTGAGACACAGAATGACTTCCACAACCTCCTCTCATGTCAGCACAAGAGAAATCCCATTACATGGCCGGGAGGCCCGGGACAATCAGCTAATCCAGGACATGAAAGTTATCCATCCTGGAAGTTGGCCTGAAGAGGAGTTAGACGTACAGTATGGGGACGTAGAGGTGCTACGTTTGTGCGAAGTGCTGAAAGTGGACAGAAGAGAGACTGTTCAGGGCTTTCGCGAATACAAGGAAACCAGGGCATCCCGTACACCTGCTGCCATGGAGCCTCTACTGAAAGCAGTCCGAACCATCGCTGTCTCCACTAGTGAGTGTGAGCGGGCATTCAGCTGCATGAACGATATCCTTACTGCAAAAAGGAATGCTCTCTCTGTCAGCCGACTGTCCAGCCTGGTTTTCATTAAATGTAATGGACCATCACTAGGACAGTTCAATCCGGAACAGTATGTGAGGTCCTGGCTGGCAAAGGGAAGGAGAAGTGCTGATGAAAGAGCCTGTCCAGCTCCAGCCCCTGATACTGATGTCCCCAAGGCCTTCTGGAGCCTTTTCTAACAATGTGAAGTATATTGCAAAGCAGCTCACCCAGTGAGAAGACTTTTGGCATAATGTGCCGATTTGTACAGATCCTGGAGATAGAAGGACTTCAGACCAACCAGGGAGTTATCTGATCAGCTTGGTGTTCAATGTAACTCTTTACCATGGCTCAGACTTTGTTACTTGCAGTTACAGTTTCTCATTTTAGATTGTGCAAATTTTGCATTTGTTTTTACATGTTCTTTGTTCATGCTCTTTATCATTTTTCTGAGTTGGAAAGTTAGATTGCATCATAGTTTACTTTATACATATTTGTATTCTTCAGTGGTGAAGTATATTGCAAAGCAGCTCAGCCATGTGAGAAGACTTTTGGCACTTTTTCGTTTTTCGTTTTCTGAGTTGGAAAGTTAGATTGCATTCAAAATGTACAGAAATACTTAATTTTGTTAAAGCTTTTTATAAAAAATGCTTCTGACCAGAGCTTTGTTTCCTTGTCATTAATGTTGAACACCACCAGAGGGGCTCTCACCTGAAAGGTCTCTGCTTCATGTGTCTTCAGCAGAAGATCTAGACTTTGATTGCTATATTTTCAGTTAATATTGACCTTACTGAGCTTTAGCCATATCCGCTGCCTATCATAAAAAATGTTAAGTACAGTGAACCTTTCTAAAATATACAGTAGTAAAGAGACAAACCCACCAGCATTATAGTAGCCAAATTCTTGTTTGTGGGCTGTATATATAAAATTGACTTGAAAAAGTTGCTGATTTTAGAGTACTGGCACCTTTTTCATTCCAATTCAAGCACTGGACAGAACACAATGACAACATTGTGTTTTATGATTTTGAAACAATGGCGGGGACAGATGGTGTACATGTCCCCTTCCTGGTGTGCACAAAAACCCTTGCGGGTGAAATTTGGGTCGCGGAGGGCACCGACTGTGCACTGCAGTTTCTGGCACACTTTAGGCGCCCAAAGTTCAAAAATGCAACCTTCATCGCTCACAATGCTAAGGGTTTTGACAGCTATCTCATTATCAACGCAATGATCGAGCAAGGATTAAAACCCTCTTTGATAATGCAGGGAAGTAAAGTGAGCTCTTTTACTGACCAGGATTTCGGACAAAAGTACATAGACTCACTGTCTTATCTCTCTATGCGTTTAGCAGCAATGCCAAAAGCTTTGGGATTTGAAGATAAAATCAAGGGATACTTCCCACACAGTTTCAGCTCTAAGGCTACTCTGAGTTATATCGGACCTTACCCCCCAGCACACTGTTATGGGATTGAACGAATGACAACTGATGAAAAAAGTGACTTTTTCACCTGGTATGAGACGGTACGCACGGGTACTTTTCATTTTCGAAAGCAGGCATTGCTTTACTGTAAAAACGATGTGGACATTCTTGCCCAGGGGGCCACTTTATTTCGAAAAGGGTTTCTCGCAGAGACAGGAGTTGATCCTTTTAGTCGTGCGACCATAGCTTCTGCGTGTATGAAAGTTTTTACCACCAACTTTCTACCGCCCAAAACCCTGGCAATACCCCCACCCGACGACTACCGCCGTGAAAACAAGACGTACTCAGACGCAGGTGTTCAATGGCTAGAGTGGATAGCCCAAACAGAAGGTGTATTTATTCAACATGCGTTGAACGAAGGAGAAAAATGAGTGGCACGTTTTGTCGTGGATGGTTTTGCCGAAGTAGCCGGGGGCAAGATTGTTTGGGAATTTCTTGGTTGCTTCTATCACGGGTGTCCATCTTGCTACAAGGGCCATGAGAAAAACCCCTGGACAGGTGGCACATTTGAGCAGCTCCATGCTGCTAGTGAAGAAAAGCTGCATGAGCTACAGTCTGTTCACGGGGCCAAAGTGATCGTTATGCGTGAGCATACATGGGTTGAGATGAAAAAATCCAATCAAGATTTACAGGCTTTCCTCAGGGAATACAAAGCGCCAGAACCATTGACCCCCCGCGATGCTCTTTACGGGGGGAGGACATGTGCTGTAAAGCTGAGGCACACGACAGCGGCAGATGAATTGGTTCATTATTGTGATTTCACTTCACTCTACCCTTTTGTAAACTGTACAGGCCTACAGTAGGCCAATCTCTAAGTTGTCAGTTCTGGCTAAGGTTCTTGAATGCTTAGTGAGTGAACAGGTAAAGGTGTTTTTATGTACAAATGACATCCTGTCTAAACATCAGTCAGGCTTCAGAAAACAACATAGCACCATCACTGCCACAATGAAAGTGGTGAATGATGTGGCGAGTATTTTAGATAATAAGCAGAGTTGTGCAGCTCTATTTATTGACCTTTCAAAAGTGTTTGACACCGTCGATCATCGCATTTTAAAGCAGAGGCTAGCCAGTATAGGCATGTCCAGCCATGCAGTGGGGTGGTTTGTGAACTACCTCTCTGAAAGGTCCCAATGTGTTCACTTTGATGGGCTGTCTTCTGAGTGGTTAAACATTGCTAATGGTGTTCCCCAAGGTTCTGTTTTAGGTCCACTTTTATTCTCCATCTACATCAACAGTTTAGGTGAAAATGTGGAAGAAGCTACTTTACATTTTTATGCGGATGATACCGTGATGTACTGTGCAGGTCCCTCCATTCAGGAGGCTGTTGTTAAATTACAGGCTGTTTTTAACATTATTCAGACTCAGCTCTCTGAACTAAAGCTTCTTTTAAATGTTGAGAAAACCAAGGTAATGTTCTTTTCTAAAGCTAAAAAGACACCAGAGCCTGTTTTAGATATTGTAACTATGCAAGGAATAAAACTTGAAGTGGTTACCTGTTACAAATACCTTGGTATCTGGCTTGATGATTGTCTCACTGTTAAACGTCATGTAAATAACCTGCTTAAAAAGCTGAGGGTTAGGCTAGGTTTCTTCTACAGGAACAAGTCCGGTTTCTCGCTTGAGGCCAGAAAAAGGCTAGTCACTGTGACCTTTTGACCTGTGCTGGACTATGGTGATCTGATCTATATGAATGCACCTGCCAATTGCCTGGTCAAGTTAGATGCTGCGTATCACAGTGCACTGAAATTTGTGACAAACTGTAAAGCATTAACCCATCACTGTACCCTGTATGCAAGGGCTGGTTTGCTTTCACTAACTGTACGGAGGCTCAGTCACTGGTACATTTTTATATACAAAGCCATGTTAGGGAAACTTCCATCTTATATCTGCTCCCTGATCTCACAGAAAATTGTAAGTGGCTACTGCCTGAGATCGAATGCTGTGGTTTTATTAAATGTGCCAACTGCTAGGACTGTCTTAGGGAAGACAGCTTTTAGATGCGCAGCTCCTCTGTCTTGGAATAGTCTGCAAATTAAATAGAAACTGAACAATCTGGTGCCACTAAATGTTTTTAAAGCTCGGTTGGATGCTACTCAATCGGAAGCTATAGGTACCTGTTTATGTGGATAATTATGTAAATGATGCTGTATGATGTCTTTTTGTTGTTCTATTTATGTTTTTATGTTTCATGTGGAACTACTTGAGCAGGTCTCCCTTGAAAAAGAGATCAATGATCTCAATGGGATTTATCTGTATAAATAAAGGTTTGAAATGAAATGAAATGAATATAATGAAGAAAGGTTGGAGACCCCTGCTTTAGAAACACTATAGGCTCAATGATGTGCGGTTGTAAACATTTATTAAAACATTAAACACTACATAAAGAACATTCTTATATTCAATTTAAATAAATACACGTTAGCAACTAACAATATTTAATAAATATGAGTAAATAAATAGCTTTCAAATAAAATCATATTTTAGTAGAGACATTGCAGTTCCAGGATTGTGCTGGTAAGACTTTCTCTTTACTTTGGATCTGCAAGAGAAACAGATAATAACAGCTCTGTTAGGACTATTATATTTTAATATTGGTACACATGTTTTTAATATGATTACAAACATGTGGTCACTGTAACTTACTGTATTTGCCGACTGTGTTGCAGCCCAGAGAGCTCATGGAGCCGATCCGGTCCATCCGCCGGCCGAAGCAGCTGGACGACTTCCTGGTCGAGTCGTTGCGGATGCTCTTCAGGTTCTTTGCTGAGAGAAACTCCCTGATTGCTGCCTCATCCAGAGTTGGGGGGGGCTGCTGTTCGTCTGCCGCCTCCTCTGTGCTCAGGCTCTCCAGGTTCCTCTCTGCAGTGACACTCTGCTCCACTTCGGAAACGGACTCCTCTAGTCTGCTAAGGAGCTCCTATAACATCCACATATACACAGGTTATGCCATGTCTTGCATACTAGACAGAAACATTTCAAATTCAATTAAGGACATACAAGGAAGGGCCTTCAAACAAAGATGTCAGCACCTTTAGACATAGTAATCGGAAGCAGATGTTAAGACCATTAGAAGCATTTGTGATATTCTTCTACAGGGTAATCGCCAAATATTCACATTTTCAGCCCTTAATTCTATGTGGTTGACTCAACAACCGTAGCATTATTTGTCACGTTATCATGACACTTTCAGTTATTTGCTTAGAGCACATATTTAACTTCAGTAACTCATATCTGATCACATCAAAGTCCAATTATATCATATATGGTCCCAAGGGTCCAAATAATGTAGGATATGATGTTTATACAATACGATCTATAACTAAACATAAATCGGTTAAATAAAATGCAGTCTCTGCAAGTGTTGAAAGTGTTGTCCATGTTCCCTTGAGCTCATACAAACTACCACCCCAGGTTTCAGGATCAATCAGAGCCTCACCTTAAAGAAGTCTATGTCAGCGTCAGAGAGGCCGGGGCTGATGGGAGATGTGCAGAACAGCTGTAGGTTTAAGATGAGGAGGAAGCCACAGAGGGGAATGGAAGACAGACACATGTTTCCTGTGAGTTCCTGTTGATGGTATCAATGGATGAAAGCTCTTGTTTTCCTGGAAGCTGTTTGGATGCTGGGCCAGCAGCAGTAGCTCTCACTTTTATACAGGAGCTTGGCACACAGAGGTATGCCAAGAATTGGACTGGCATTCCTGACACCTGCCTCTGATAACAGGAGCTGTCGGAAACTGCTCCTTTTAAAGCATTGTCCCTTAGATATGATGCATTCTTATGACATAGCTGCTTCCATTTGCTACTTTGTTTCAGAAACCCACTCCCCCCCTGCACACGGGACACTTTTGTCACTGAGTTACGGGAAGTAGTAAACCCACAGACAGTGTGACAGAGTTTCTAAATGGAGGGGTGTATGTGATTGTGGCCTGCTGGTTTGAGAGATTGGCCTTCACTGGGAGGAACAACGCAGAGCCTCTCTAAAGGCTCCTCAGGGGCAGATGAAGGGGGACACGAGAAAAAAAAGGTTGGGAACCACTGGTCTATGACGTACTGTAAACTCTATCCTCCCTGTAGCAGGAAGCAAGGACAATGTGAAACCTCACATAACATAGATATTGCAGTTTGTCTTTGCTGTGATAAGAAATACTACCCTGTGGTACGCCTCTACACACTCCTTTTTGTATTTTAAAGAAATGATATAACAAAGGCATACATGACAAAACAAAACACTTAGATACATCAAATAACTACAAAACAATTCACAAATCAGGAAAAGAGGAGAAAGAAAAATGAATAATTGATTGAAGCTTACACATAATGGATACAACATTAAATAATAGCAATTCCATGTATTTTGTTTAATAATTGCTATTCTTATTACGAGAAATAACTAGGAATATTTTTGTATTTCTCTCTGGTGTTAGTGGGTACGAATACAGGAATTGTACTGCGCTGTATTAATAGTTTTAATATTTGTAGTCAATAGCTTGACCTCAGAAAAAAAGTTTGAGTACTCCATGTACCAACAAGCTTTGTGCATGAGGGGAAGGACTTTAAAAATGATGTGTTGAGGGACAGAGAGCCAGTAGAGGTTCTGCAGGACAGGGTGGGTGAGGTGTTCACGGAGAAGGTCTTTGGGCGGCAGAGGAGCAGAATAGCTCTGGATGATCTGCATTTATTTACGACTTTGGAAGATGAGCCATAAGGATACTGTTGCAGGAGTCAATTCTGGATGTGATGAATGCATGGATCAGAGAATCATTGTCATGGGAGAGTTAAACATTTGAAACAATTATTATTTATTTCATATAGGAAAGTTTCATTTTAGGAAAGCCCCGCCCCCTCGTTCAGACAGATAAAAGACAACGGAGGCGATCAAACTCTCTCCTATCCCTCTTGTCTCTGGTCCCTGTCCTCCTCTCCCTTTTATCCTCAAGGACCCCCACAGAGGTTCCTTGTAGAGATGGCAAATCCGGATCCTTTTACGGAGTCTTCTGAGTCAGTCATTGAAGAGATCCGGATCATACGAGTCCTTTGAGTCATATGAGTCAGCATCACCAAGAGCGTAGAAATCCTACCGGTGAAACCAAAAAGTTGTTGCATTTCACGAGCATATTCAACTAACGTTACATTAACCTCCGCTACAGTGTCTTTTGCTTTAACCTGTTAGGCCCCAAGCCTGTTTTTCAGGTTTCAGGCTCGAAAATGACATTCCCAGAACAAATGACCATATCTTCCCTTCTAAAAGGGTTAAATTAATAATATTTGTTCTCAAAGTAATGATAAACCTGTGAGTTGGATATAGAAAAGTCAGAATCAATATAGATGTTTTTTATTTTAAAGAAAATTCAGATTGAACATATAGTAAAAAACTGTAAATGATAGTGTCCGTCCAAAAAATATGTTGTACTTATAGTGAAAACTAACCTTGGATGATGGGTTAGTAGACTAAAAGCTTTAGGAATCCAAAGTACAACATATAATAAGTACCCTGTATCAAGATTGATGCAAAACAAGTGATATTTGACATTTTTAGACAGATTTAGCAAAAACCTCTTCTGGGGTCATTTGGGTGGATTTTCCATATCTCTGGCCCCCCTTGTTCAATTTTGACATGTGACATCTCTTTCTGACCGTTAGAGCCAATGGAATCCAAGGGAAATCGTCCCGCACACACTCACGCTGCTCTCATATCAAGCAATGGAAAAGCTGTTGTATTGCTTATGGATTATCAGAAAATTTCAAAGGGGACACAGTCACATTGGATTAACCTATGGATTAACTACAGCATTGTTTTTATCGTTTTAATGCCATTGAAGACCAGTTTAGACCAGACAAAGACAAAGGTAAGCCATGTTAGCGTTGTGGGCTACCTAGCGCCACTTGTTTTGATGTACGTTTTTGTTGATAACGTCGCAAGTTTGTATCTTTCAGTGTTAAGGTGGGCACAGTTAGATTCTGTGTCTCCTTGCGATCATAAACGATGTGTTGGATGTGCACCTAGGATAAGTAATAAGGGAGCTAGTGTAACAGAGTTATAAAGGTTGGTGTAAAATCCGGGTTAAATTGGAGAATTACGCCATCTGGTGTTACAAACGCGTGCCCAGTGTTGCCAACTCCATAGTAATGAAAGTAGCTATTGGCTGTCCGAAAAGTCGCCAGAAGTCGCTAAATGACGTCATCGCCTAATTTGCATATCATGTAATGGCGGCTGTAGGCAAACAACGTTCCCAACCCTTCAAGGATCAAAACTTGAAACCACCGGAGTTAAATCCAGACGACAGTAGATCAGAAATGTCTTTGCCTTTTGAGTATGTTTTGGGGTTTTAACATGACAGTTTGGCATATAAATCCCCCTTACAATAAAGGCAGTATGCCCGTGTGTCATCTCCAATAAATGGCTTCAACCATCCTTTATACTCAGGGTTTGATTCCCACTCCTTTCTGTATTTTTGAGAATACAATTTAGACTGTGCCATGATGTTTAGCTTGTCACAGAGAGGCACACACACAGTGGACGAGGTGATTGAGTGACTGAGGCTGTGTGAGTCAAAGCAAAGCAAAGGCAGTTATTTATTATAGTGTGAAAGTGAGTGAAGAAACATTTACATTCAACATTTAAATCCCGCTCAAAACCAGGACGGCTTGGCAGTTGGCGCATGCGCAATTCATTTGCAGTCTCGACGCGGGGGAGTGTGGTTGTCTCCTCTCTGCTCTGACTGCAGCAGCAGCTCTGCTGCGGCCAGGCAACTGTCAGTCTGAGCGCCTGTGAGTACTATGGGAGGGAGGCGGGGCTCACGGGCAGCACCCGCGGCTCGTTAACTGCAGAACAATGTGAGTCTCCAAACACCAGAAAAGTCGCTAATAACACCATTATAAATCGCTAGATTAGTCGTTAGTCGCTTTTGACACAAATAAGTCGCCGGAGGGTTTGGAAATCCGCCAAATTTAACGAGAAAATCGCCAAGTTGGCAACACTGCGCGTGCCTGCATTGCTGTAGCTTTGTTACCGCAATGGATTGTGGGAGGTTCTCATACCACGTGAGGATCTGTTGAGAGTAAGGTGCTATTGTATTATGTCTGTGGACAAAATGTATGTTATTATTTTATTAGGACAATAACGTTCTGTTGTGTTTGTTTAGTTTAATGTTAGTCGTTTAATGCTCACAGCAACATGTTTTTTGTGTGATTCGCTATTTGTGTTATATGATTTATTAATGTGTTCGTCAATAGCTAATTTGAGCTAATAGGCTAACGTGAGCGCGGTGCTATCTCTCCAACAGAACGCAGCTCACGTGTCCATTGTGTGTTGCCCATTGCAATGCAGGTATGTGAGTTTTGTACACCAGTTTGTTTATGTTTAATGTTTCACATTGTTTATACTACCACTATACGATCATTGTTGTGTTGTTGATTATTGGACACTTATTTTGTAAAGGAGATTGAGATACCGCGTGAGGATCTGTTGAGAAATGCAGCTCACGTGTCCATTGTGTGTTGCCCATTGCAATGCAGGTATGGAAATAAACTGAAGTAATCACCAGCTCTGAGTGGTCTGTTGCTGAGGGGACACTACATCGGGGTTACATTGGTGCCGTGACCCGTTCTTGACTAGGCCGGACCAGGGTGGATGTCTTCTCGCCGCTGCAACGTTTTGGAGCTTCAATTCCTTCAGTGTGTTGGACTCTCAGGTTTATTTTGTTGATATAAGCCTTATTCTTTTGAACTTGTCATTTTATTTTGGTTTACTATCGATAAAACATGAGTTCCAGTAGATTTAATACCTTTTAAATGACTCCTTTCAATGTTGGTAGGGGTAGAGGGCTATGTAGCACACCTGTCCCATTTTCACTAGGTGACTTTAAGGTGGGGGATAGGAAAACTTTTGATGGGGATTCAGTGCACAGTCCTATCAGAAGTGGAGATGTGATGACACCTTCCATCCAACCTACAGTAGAGTTATCTACACCACAGTGCTTTAGCTCATCAGTCCCCAACCCTCCTGATGATGTGAGACTAGCTGACCAAATGAGCACTATTGTGCAGCAGATAGGGCAGCAGCTAGCTGATAGTATTATGTCACGCATTAACACTACAGCTGCTGCGCACACGAGTCATGAAGAAACATGCATTAACACAGACACACTCCCCAGCCAAACACTGGATCTCTCCCAAGTCCAGCTAGTCACTCAGAGAGGAGTTAAAGACCCACCTGTGTTCAGAGGAGAGAGTTCAGACACACTGCCTGTTGATGAATGGGAGGATTTGATGAGAAATTACATCAGGAAAAGCAGTATCCAGCCAGAGCATCAAGCTGAAGAAATTCTGATTCACCTGAGGGGCAGAGCAAAGGATGTTGTGAAGTTTGGGATAAGAAATAGTGGAATTGATGTCCAAGAGAACCCGCAGGCCATCTATGGACTCCTCCGCAAACATTTCAGCTCCAGCCATTGCTCTTCTGTGCCCTTAGCTGACTTGTATTCCACCCTACCAAAAGAACAAGAGGACCAATATGAGTACTGGCTCAGGCTAAACAGAGCTGTCGATGTGGCTGACAGTTGTCTTAGGGAACAG